AAGCGTAGGGACAATGGTAGCAAATCTACACCCGAAACCCTAAACCCTAAACCCCAAGTCATCTGGGTTGCTGTTAAGGAACTTAACTTAAGTTACTATATTGGGGAAACCCTATTATTTACTCTATATACCCATTATGGTAACTTAATTTAAGTTCCTTAACAGCAACCCAGTGATTGCAGTCGGTATGAGGAGCGTCCTGTAGCAGCGCGGCACACCACAAGTACAGAACTCTACGCGGTCAGCAGGCACTGGGTCCAGGTCTTGGGGCTGGCATAGAGGTTTCGGTCAGGGCGGTCAGGGTTGTGTAAGGAGTACAAAAGGAGTTCTCACAGCTGTGGGCCTACAAGCTGCGCCCCTGTGTGGAGTTGTCTATGGTGAAATCCAACAATCTTTTTCTGTCATGACATATTGCTCCCAGGAGTATTGCTTAGCACTCCATGGTATGGCGGGTTGCCGCGGAGACTGCTGCAGTAGGGGCCTAAATACATATTGCTGTTCTAGACTGCTTGCATAAGTATAGTATTACAAGGTACTTCGAAGAGACCTCGCAATGATACCGCCAAGTATTCAGGCTTGTACCATTACACATGGCTTCTGCGAAGCCGAGCCACCAGCGCAGACCCACTCCTGCTTTGCCAGGCTCATAGGAATACAGTCGTGTCCACTGCCTCTTCCACCTTGTAAAAATTCACCTTCAGGGGACTCATAAATTTCGGTATTTTGTCATGAAGACCAGACGCGACGAACCAATCTTTCGACAAAAAACACCTCACCCTGGCATAAGGATGCCAGCAAGAACGCACGAAATTGAAACTGCAACCTGTTGTGAGGCTGCGGTGTGAAAAAGCTTTCTGCCGGAAGCCCAGATTGCTGGCTCAGGATTTAAAGTTGGGGTATATGATTCAGGATGTGACTGTTGTTGCCTTGACCGGAGAGGGCTCGAAATTTGAGATTGATGGCCTCAAGGAACACCCGGGCTTCGACAAAGATGAACCATAGCAACTCTGCAAACTAGTAGATACGCACAGTATGTAAGATCTGGTAATGAAAATTGTAGTCTCACAGAAGTAGTATTAAGGATGGCAGCAAGAGTGCAGGAACCCTTCTCCAGAAGGCTTCTTAGGTCTGGCAGACTCATTGACATTCGTCCCCTTTCCCTTTAGTTCAGCTGTCTTCATACAGCATCCACGGTCAATCTTTGTCGATTCCAGCTAACCATGCTGGTGCTGAGGTGAAAAGTTTGGAGTGGGCAGTGATTACCTGTGCTTGGGTGGATCTGAGTGCCGCGCCGCAGCGTTGCTGAGGACATTGCGCCCGCCCTCATAAGAAAAAGGGCGACTTTGCCTTCGTATTTCTCAGACCCTAAACATTACCAAAGCATGGAAGCCCTAGGGTCAGGAGCCCCCAAAAAATAGCCAAAAATTAGACAAAATGTTGAGAACACCTTATACTTTGGTGCCCGCACATCATCTTCAAATGTAAGAGTGGGCTGAAGAAGTCTCAGCACCACCATGTCATATGCTGCCTGTTAGTGTCATTGGTTTCATGATGTGTCTCATTGCTTCAATGTTAAGAACAACACTTGCGAGCGGGTTATGCTTATTGCTATTTCTGCCATTGCTCGGAGCATAGATACCATCATTGCAATTACTGCGACCTGCTGCATTTTCTGGCACGGATACCAAGAGAACTGTCCCAAATCCAGAACCCTGCACCCTAAATCTAGATGACCCACTGCCCCCGCCTTGCAAACTCTGCAACCCTAAATCCCAAAGCCCTAAACTTAAAGAACGTACACTCCTAAACCCTAAACCCTATATATGGATATCCCTGTAGAACTCATATAACCCCTAATATCCCGTTTAGATCCCTATACAAAATCCTATATATACGTATATAACCCCTAACATCCCCTTCATATCACTATGTATCCCTATATATCCCCTATATCCCCTCTAACCTGGAAGCACGATTCGGCCTGGGTGAGGTTCGCAAGCTGAAGCTTCAGAGCCGATCAGTGAGGATGGGCGCTCAGAATCCCTTTGAAGGGATTATATGGATTACATAGGTTGTCAAAATTATGGTCCCTTTTTGGGTTCCCTAAATATTAGGTGCCGTATTATAATCGGAATCCAAAAAGGGACCACAATTTTGACAACCACCCATATAGGGGTTGAGGGATCAGGGTTCTAGGGCTCAGGTTTCCAGAAATTTAGATGTCTTGAGAGTCTGTGCACGCCGCGTCTGGGGTGTAAGAGAAAGCAAGTTATTGGTCGCATGTTAGGGCTTCTAGTAAGGATCACCCAATGCAGAAATCTGCGGAGGAGCTGTAATTTCAACCAATATATGTACAGACATTCTACCTGCGACTCCAACCGGCATGTACAGGCTCCTGCACAGCAACATATTCGCATAACCATGTCATGTAAGATAGCAGCACATACGTGCAGGAGTCAGGTACTGATGTAATAATCCACTGGCTCCTGCTCTGCTGCGAATGATTGGACCTCATGGATGGCCAGATCGGGCTTTCAGATGAACAAGCTAAAGCTGCAACGAAGCATGTCGCAGCATAGCAGCAGTAGTGCCCAAGCATACGTATATATATATATGTACATACATATATATGGATATAGTTATAGGTATAACCATAGAAGTATGTCTACGGGCACTTGTATAAGACGGAAATCTTCATGAGAAACCCTCAGGCCTTTACAGTTGTATTGTTTTCCGCACAACCTTCTGTTTCAGTTCATATCTCGGCACGTTTTCCCTGGGGGAAATGCATGCCGCCACTAGCTTGAGCAGGGCCTAAAGACAAGTATCTTTCCAACCTGCAAGGAAGCAGAGAAAGGTTTGACAACAACAAAAGATACGGCACTTTTGCTAGGCAGTCATGCGGGCGTCAAGCAAAGCTGTCTGTGGAATGAGAAGTCTCATCAGGAAGCGTTCAATCCCATTGAGTGTAACCTCAAAGAGCATTCCGTACTGCTAACGTGCTAAACATTTCAGACCTGCTGATTACAGGGCATTTTCTTGCAAGACTTGAGTCCTTGCACAGCCGGCCAACACAAGTTGGATTCCGACTGCAAGAACCTACGAAAGCCCTTACAGAATCTTTAGGACTTGGACAAATCTAAGATACGTACACGTCCCTACCGCACCGTCAAGAGATGTCATGGACTTTGGGCTTAGGCAACTCATGAGAATCCTATCCGTACCTGGTCCTGGGGGAACCCCGTTGTGAGTCGGTTTTGTCCAAAGTTGTGTGATGTTACTTGAATTCCCTGACAGTAGCCTGATGCTTGTCCTGCGGAGGGCGCTCCGACTGTAGCCGGTGCCCGGGACCCATGTTGTTTACAAACCCGATGCCTGTAGACTAGCTTCCCTTAAAGCAGTGTAATTAGGTAGGAGCACGCACAGGGGTTGTATAAGTGTTAAAGCCTTAAGGCCCTGCAGTTGACATCATGGATTAGACCAGCGCTTTGGACTTCACCTGCTTAGATACAAGCATCTTCCATAAACAGCACCTCCCATATGCTTAGTAGCTGAGTGGACGCCCTTTAACCACTGGAGTGTTCAAGTCATGCACGCCTCTGTATAGAGTGTTCCACGGGAATACGCTGGGGGCATTCAACAGAAGGAAGCGCTTCAACATTTTGGTGTATGTATATAACTCACAAACCCTAAACCACAAACCCTAAACGCGAATCCCTAAACCCCGATCTCTAAACCTTAAACCTAAACCACTTAAAGACCTTTTCCATTTTCTTTTCCATTATCCCTATTTAACCCTACATAACCCCAATATACCATAGTAATTTCCATCCTCTTGTCCATTATCCCTATATAACCCCCGTATATCCCCACTTAAAGACCCAACCTTCTTGGGGGCGCGGATCCTCAGCAGCTGGTATGATGCCTGCAGGCGGAGCGTGAAGAACGCCGGAGAATGGCGGCCTTGAAGGCAGAACAGCGCCGCCACCCCTGACTCTATTAGGCCTTATTAAGCCCTATATAGTCCTTATTAGCTCCTTAAACCCTGGAGAGTTCCTTTGGGGGCGGGGGGGAGGGTACTGTTGTACTGTTGTTGTTTGAGCTTGGGGTTGAGAGTTAAGGGATGTTGAGGGTGTAGAGTTTACACAAGAAGGAGTGTAGATCTTACAGTGTGTTAGGGTTGTCCGCAGATGCGCGCCAGTGTACTGATTTTATGCTTGGTTTGTTCCAGAACTGCAAAAGCGTGTCGAATATCTGCATGTTTGGCGTTTTGTTGTTTCATGGATTTTGGGCCATGATTTTACCTACTTCTGAGGTCCAGGTAATCCTATTTCTTTTCCATGCTACTGCAGTTGGTGGGGGCTAGATTGCACAACGCCAGGCCGTCCAGAAGTGACCCCTTAGCTTGCGTCTTGAGCTGAAATCCTCCCTCAAGGTTCCCCAGAACGACATGGAACCTGAATCTTCGTCTTTGTATGAGCCCTTTTTTAAGAGTAGCAAGCTGGCTTGTGGGGGTTAGCTATATTAAAAGGGTTCTCATAATTCCTCTTGTATGGATCTGGGATCCTTTTAAGCTTTTAAGCATGGGATCCTTGTAAGCATGTTAACTTGTTACCAGGAGTTGCACTACTAGCACCCCCCAGAGCTCAAGGGTTCCTTCATTACATGGACCAAAATGTCATTCGTCTGAAATGGCGTAGGTCTCCAAGTCCACGCAGGGTTGATGTGTTGTTGGCTTGTGGCTGTCCATGTCACCAGACCCCGAAACCTTGAACTCCTAAGATCCATGGTCCAAGCAATTGGAACGTCTTCAAAATCGGGGCCACGTACGCCGCGAGCAACATCGAACAACATGGGTCATAATCATCATCATCATCATCACCATCATCATCAAGATCATCACCACCATCATCAAATCAGTCCAAGTAAGGCCTAGATGAGAAGATGGCTCGGGGCGTCGGTGACGTCGAGAAGGCTTGAGCCTTCATCGGCATCGGAGCACAGAAGGTTCTGGAGCTCGAACGTGTTTGGGGTAGAGGGGTGGGTGCGCGCTCCCCAAACGACACTTGGAGCCTGAAAGGGGTCTTTTGCAGAGTGCTGGAGCCACTTCGAGGTTCCACGTGTGTTTCGGCTTGCAGGGTTAGGGTTTCGGTCTTGAGATCGTTCGCGTGAAAGTACAACAAGTGCTCGCGACAGGAGTAGGGCTTTCTCCTCCTGTTCAGGGTGTTTCTTTTTCGCCTCAAGGCTTGTATTCACATCTGCCATTCCCCCTCCCTGATGAGTTTGGACTGTATTGTGCTCACTTGGGGTACATGTGTGAAAATGATCCCAGCATCATCCCTAAGAAAGACGCACACACTCTACATATCCCAAAGGTCCCTAAGCCTTAAGGGCCGCCCCCTCATATAATTTGTCGGGGCTTGACCAAAACCTCCTAACTGTCCCCTGAAGCCAAGGAAACATATTTAGAGCTGTTTTACAGCGGCCTTTCTATTGTTGCCTAATTCAGGGTGTGCGTAAGGTCTAGGTCGGCACAATGTATGAGGTCATGAAGACCTGTGTGAGGATGGAATGTCAGGATCTTAAATGGTTTAATGGGGTATTAGGCTTTAAAAGGTTTCCTGCGTCCTCAGTAGTTCCCCTGCATGTATGCCTGCCAAAAGACATACAGCCCTTCTTGCATCAGGCCCACTGCTTGCATTAGACCCCATCCAAAATTGTTAAAAGCTTTCCGCAATTTCAGAACCCCAAGACCTAAACCTTTAAGCCCTAAACCTTTAAAACCCCTAAGCCCCTAAGCCCTACCCCTAAACCTCCGCATGGCTTCGCAGGTTAAACAGCTCCAGGCCAGACTGAGCCCTCCCTTGGTAATGAGTCTGAGGGTTTAGAGGTTTAGGGTT